GCTCTCGTGAATATTTGTAGTTAACTCAAACAAAATATAAAATCGGGTAATGCTAAGCGGTGAAGGGAATGAAAACGGCAAAATATATATTTATAAATAGGTCTAATAAGCAGACAACAAAAACAGCTTTGTACGTGCAGCACACCTTTTGTAAATTTCTTTACCGTTGTTTTGCACGACTACAGAAACTTCCTCGTTACACGTTCTACGGAGGAAATGCCTTATGTGTTCCTGTTTACTTTTTTGTCACTGCCGCTCATGTTCACCTTGGTGGCCGCTAGCATTACTCAATTCTCACCGCCGCCATAAAATTTTCACGATTTTCTTGCAACGAAATTGGACTCCTTGGTTTTTTACCCTCGCTCTAGCTCTTTCTTTCTCTGTTATTCACGTCTATGTAGACATTAAACTTTAGTGGAAAGAAAGACTAGGCTTCGTTTCGTTGTTTTTTTTTTTCTCTCTAAAAGTCCAGGTGGTCATGCGATTTACCGCCGAAACGCGTGGGTGTTTTGAAATGAAAAATCTCACCCCGGGCTAACATGAAGGGTGGACTGCTCCGCTATCTACAAACTGAATCGGAAGGAGTCTACTTAGCGCGGGACTTATGAAACTTTTTGCTGGGTGGCGGGAGGGGGGGAAAGACAGCCTCTAGTGCACCTTGGCCTTATTACAGAAAATTTTCTGGTGGAATATGTACTCACTGCTCCTAGTTCTTGATGCAATTTCCTACACTCTTTCTCCTTTTTCCTCAAGTCGTCTGACGTAGCCTTTCTCTTTTTACTGTTGTCTCTCGCCAAGTCTTTTCTGTTCATTATCTCGGCCAGTTTGTTGACAGCTTGGATTTTCATCGTTTTTTCTATAGCGAGCTGCTTTTTCAACTTTTCCGTAGCACCATCAATTTCTTTGCTGATGTCCTTGGATTTCTCGAGATCTAGAAAAAAAAAACGGAAAAAAACATAAGATGATCTTTAAAAAATGAAACAATTGCACTGCTGTTATCTATACCAATGCTCTTTGTGCTCTTCGTAACTGAAGAGGTAATCTGAAGAATAAAACTCTCTCAAAACATGCATGGTTACACAACAAGTAGTCCATCAAGTTCCTCAGGAATAGCAGGGCGAGCGAAATACGCAAACGCGCACAAAAAACGCCACCGGCTGGAGAGGTGACTCGCGGGGTAAGAGAGAATATGAGGCCTAAACTCTGATTTCAGCGATTCTCTATTTTGATGATCATCAAAACTAAACCCCAATCATCTCGAGTGTTGAAAGTGACTGGCGGGTTTAAGACATCTCATGACAGGTCGCCAAGGAAGAGCCAATCAAACGTTTGTGTTGTAAAAGCAACGCAAAGAGTCAAATGCCTGGGATCAGCGTGTAGTCCTTCATTTCGTCTTTTCCCTCGACGTGTCATCTTGCTAGTTGATGACGAGTTTCAAGCGCGCTCGCCTACTTAACTCGCCCTACTATCCCTGAGGGAAATGAGGGACTACTCGTAGGCTTTGTATGGAGGACCGTACAAAGACTACTATTGTTCCTTAAGCTCTCTACAGGTTGATTGATTGAAAATTAATTACATAGTGTACTACACTTGACCAACCTTCCTGCATGTTCTTTATCTTAGCATTCAATTCATTTTTCTCCGCTATTTTCTGATCCAAGGACTCTGTTAGCTGTTGGTTACGATCCTCCTGCAGGGTGATCTGTGCGCCTTTCTCTGACATATCACTCTTGTGCCTCGCAATCAATTCCTTGACCTCCAGTTCAATCATGGTCTTTTCCTTTTCCAGATCTGCGTACTGGTGGTATAAAGGTCAACATTATCTCACGAAATCAATTGTGAAAATTTGAACAATCTCTTTAATATTTCAAATATTTCAGGAATGCTGTTTGTCTATGGGCCCATCACTATGAAGCTCAAGGCTCCCAAAAATTAATTACCGTTACCCCTTGCCCTTTAGTTTTCTCACACCTGATCGCTGTTTCTTTGCAACGCAATCAAACCGTGTGGTGTTAAGGTTTTTCTAAGGCCCGGGTCAACTATCAAACTTCCCGCTCATGTGCCGAATCTAAAGCGAATGAGTTGGTACAATTGATTTTGCTCATCGGCATTAGGTTCGACACATGTGAAGTTCGATGCTTGACCGGGGTCTAAGTTGTACAATAGCTTTAGATCTTTGGAGTCAACAAATGAGGAAACAATCATGTTTTTCCTCAAGCGCTCATATCATTCGATGACCTTGTCACCTTCACAAACAGTTAACTTCACGACCACTCCTACCCATCATTACCATCATAGTCAACCGACTTAGGACGTGAGTCCAGTAATCGAACATCAAGAAACCTAATTGAACAGGGGACGGTAGATAATACCACCTACTTGTTCCTCAGCAATTGATCTTGCCAACTGTTCTGAGTGGGCTTTTGTTAATGTCAACTCCAATTGGGCGGAAAGTGATTCCCTGAAAAACCAAGTAATAACCGCCATCAATACAAAAGTTCTCTTAGCAAAAGGCATGTCCTACAGTTCAACTTTTGCGGCTATGGAGGAAATCCTATCGGATGTGACCATTCAAACCACACCTCTACAACAGTGCTTGGACAGGATACTATTTTTTAGCATGTAGTTCCAATTACGGAGTCTGTAGAAGATATGTTTCGTTGTCAACCTCTTCTGCAGTACCTTTACATCATACTATAGATTTAGTAAGTAGTTCTAGCGTTTTAGTCCGTGAACCAAATCTATGGTGTGACCATTCAAATGAAACCTCTTCAGCACTACTTTCTATGGTACCCTTTCTCTGTTTTCAGCATTTTTCAAATGAAATTCTGAATTCTTGAATTTGCCACTCTAGGAGGGAAAAAGAAGAACGGATCTCCCACCTCTCTTCGTTGAGCTGCCGAATCTCATTGCTCAACTCTTGCGCCTGTTTTCCCTTTTCATCGTTCTCTTCCCGCAATTCCTTTACTTGGGTTTTGTATAAAGTCTATAAAGGAAAGATAAAATCAGGATGAAATGTAAAGACAATAAACCTAATGCTTCAGAAGTCAAAAGTTAATTACGACAATAAAAGTCTTACCGAGAAATATGTTTCTGCCTCTAGTTGATCTTGAAGTTCCTTCATCTGCAAGTCATCCACAGCNTGGACAGGATACTATTTTTTAGCATGTAGTTCCAATTACGGAGTCTGTAGAAGATATGTTTCGTTGTCAACCTCTTCTGCAGTACCTTTACATCATACTATAGATTTAGTAAGTAGTTCTAGCGTTTTAGTCCGTGAACCAAATCTATGGTGTGACCATTCAAATGAAACCTCTTCAGCACTACTTTCTATGGTACCCTTTCTCTGTTTTCAGCATTTTTCAAATGAAATTCTGAATTCTTGAATTTGCCACTCTAGGAGGGAAAAAGAAGAACGGATCTCCCACCTCTCTTCGTTGAGCTGCCGAATCTCATTGCTCAACTCTTGCGCCTGTTTTCCCTTTTCATCGTTCTCTTCCCGCAATTCCTTTACTTGGGTTTTGTATAAAGTCTATAAAGGAAAGATAAAATCAGGATGAAATGTAAAGACAATAAACCTAATGCTTCAGAAGTCAAAAGTTAATTACGACAATAAAAGTCTTACCGAGAAATATGTTTCTGCCTCTAGTTGATCTTGAAGTTCCTTCATCTGCAAGTCATCCACAGCACTTGCACTGAAATAAATAACGTGTTAGGCGAAGAAAATGCGTGCTTTACAAAAATGCGTGTATTACTAAAGTTTGTCTTGAAAACAAATACCTTTTTAGTTTTGCACAGGCTTCTTCCAGCTGCTTTCGCTCATCCATCAGTTCTTCTACTTGCTGGAGAATCAAAAAATAGTCAGTAAATATTGCCCTGTATTTTTGAAAAATTAACTTACTGAGGTGGCACTTGGCTACTGGAGATTGATTGGGAGAGGAATACGTCTCCTAATTTCTGTACAATAGCGGCTAGCCAGAAACATTGTGTGAAGAATGTTATAATAACTTCTTTTCTCAGGATTCCAGGATGTGAATCTGATCCCAAGATGAGAATCTGAATCTGAATACATCTCAAAGATACGGGGGTGCCAAGCAAAGCCCCTCACTCTCGTATCTCCATTCGCGTGCAAAGTTGCGCGTGTTCGTTATCCCCAAATGGAGAGCTTGCTGGTAGGCTACCTCCAGATCTTAAGTCCAACACGTTAGACGTAGAGTACGAGTAGTCCCCCATTTTTCCTCAGGGATAGTAGAGCGAGCGAAACGCGAGCGCGCGTGAAAATCACCCCACGCGAGAATGAGTTCATTTTCACGCGCGCTCGCGTTTCGCTCGCTCTACTATCCCTGAGGAAAAATTGGGGACTACTCGTAGTCTACGTTAGACGTCACGTTATTAGTGCAAAGTTATTGAAGTGACTTCCTACGAGCCATTCAACTTCTTCTGTACAGAGATAGACATACCTTTGCCAGCTGCTTCTCTGTTGTTCTCAGTGCTGCTATCTCTTGAGCATTTAATTTCACTTCACTTTCAAGCTGTGTTCGTTTCTGGTTGTCAGCCTCCAGTCTCGAATTCAAACTTTTTTTCTGAAAGGCAAAACCACAAAAAAAATCACTTAGTTACTTTAAAACCTTCCAAAACAGTATAGCTTAGTGGCAGGAATCCTAGTTCGTGTACTGTTAGAGACTGGGGCTTACAGCGGCTTGAACGACAACCTGACGATACCGGAGATGATAAAAATTCTATGATGCCTGTGCAGGCCTGCAAATAATCTTCCTTATATCCGACCAAATGACCATTTTTTGTCAGACGAACCAGAATTTGTTTGACAACAGTTAAGTTGACTTTTAATTTCTTTAATAATTATGGAAATCTTCAGCTACAACATGATGGCCTTGGGTATTTAATTGGACTGTTCATCGTGTCCGATCGCAAGCAGGATTCAGGGAGTTTAAAAATCCGACGAAGGCGACAGCAACAAGAACGTCAAAACCGAATAAGTTAAATATGCAGACGACAAGTTTTACACAAGCATCATAGTTTTTTGTACATTTCTTTGCCGACATTGCACGACTACGACGTAAAAATGCATATTTTCACGTTGTATGGACTGGAGGTCATAAACAAGCGACGACGAAATGTTCTTTCCCTTCCTGAACTTCGATATGTTTCTCAGGACTTCAACGCCAGGAGAGTTCGTCCATTTTGACCAAGTGAGTTGGAATAATCGCGATGAAGATTTAGCGAGCGTGAGTTAACTTTTTAAGCGACATTTTCGCCACCGTTGTTGTCCTCTGATCTTAAGGTCCTTATGTTCTCGAAAATGGGCCAATTTAGTCGAACACTATCCGATGATAAGTTTTATTTGCAGCTCTGTTGTGCGTGTCAGTCTTGCGGTGCAAGATTGCCGCATTCTGGTGTTTACCGTATCAAGAACAGCATTGTATTCCTGCTGCAATCTCTCAAATTTCTGGTGCATATCNCTGGGGCTTACAGCGGCTTGAACGACAACCTGACGATACCGGAGATGATAAAAATTCTATGATGCCTGTGCAGGCCTGCAAATAATCTTCCTTATATCCGACCAAATGACCATTTTTTGTCAGACGAACCAGAATTTGTTTGACAACAGTTAAGTTGACTTTTAATTTCTTTAATAATTATGGAAATCTTCAGCTACAACATGATGGCCTTGGGTATTTAATTGGACTGTTCATCGTGTCCGATCGCAGGTAGGATTCAGGGACTTCAAAATCCGACGAAGGCGACAGCAACAAGAACGTCAAAAATGCAATACGTTAAATATGCAGACGACAAGTTTTACACAAGCATCATAGTTTTTTGAACATTTTTTTGCCGACATTGCACGACTACGACGTAAAAATGCATATTTTCACGTTGTATGGACTGGAGGTCATAATCAAGCGACGACGAAATGTTCTTTCTCTTCCCGAACTTGGATATGTTTCTTAGGACTTCAATGCCAGGAGAGTTCGTCCATTTTGACCAAGCGAGTTGGAATAATCGCGATGAAGATTTAGCGAGCATGAATTAACTTTTTAAGCGACATTTTCGCCACCGTTGTTGTCCTCTGATCTTAAGGTCCTTATTTTCTCGAAAATGGGCCAATTTAGTCGAACACTATCCAATGATAAGTTTTATTTGCAGCTCTGTTGTGCGTGTCAGTCTTGCGGTGCAAGATTGCCGCATTCTGGTGTTTACCGTATCAAGAACAGCATTGTATTCCTGCTGCAATCTCTCAAATTTCTGGTGCATATCCTTAAGATCCACAGCTAATACTGATCTCTGTCTCTCAGCCTCGGCAGCAGCTGCTTCAGCCTTTCCTCTGGACTCGATTTCCTGCTCTAATCTTTCCAAAGTTTTGCTCTGTTCAGCGCGTTCTTGTTCCGTTCTCTCCTCCAGAGTCAGTGATAATCTATTCTTTTCTGTTTGGAAACTAGTTATTTGTTGCTGAAAGAGAGAACAAAACCAATGCTCAACTCCTGATTTTTCCCATTAAAATAGTAAGAACGTATCAGAAAAACTGAAATAAACGGCCTCACACAGATGCAGAAAATGATTTATACCTTATAGTCATTCATAGTCTTTTCAAATTTGCTTTTTGTCGACTTGAGCTCGTATTCCGTGTTGGCCTTTGCCTAAAAAAAAATAACAAACAAAACAATAAGTGCAAGAAGTAGAAACCAAGTTTCCCTTCTCGACAAGACACAAACAAGAAACCCTTTAAGTTAAAACTGTTGGATACGTAATCCTCTAAACGAATTATGGCCAATGTACCCTCATGTCCCTTGAGCTCAGCTATTAACCCGTCTTCCTCTTTTAAATTCTAAGGGACTGTTTATATGGAGGGAGGAAGATCCTAGCACTAGGAAAATCCTAGAAGGCGGAACAACTTTCGGTTGGGTTTTATACATACAGAAATTTCGGTCCCTGAGGTTACCAATTAGAAGAGGAAAAAAGATGGCGGGCGACAAAAACAAAAATGCCATTTGGGCCCTTGTGCTCTCTTAACTGTCGTTAAAAACTACTTTTCAGCAGAATTATCACGATAATCTGCTCGTGGTGACGCCAAACAAGATGGTCGGCTTTTATTGCTGTGATTACCCATTAAACGACCCAAGTTATTAAATGTTAGAAGTTTTATGATTTTAGGATTGGGAGGGGGCCTTAACCTCCTTCACTAAAAAAAATAGTGAAGCTTTCCGGGGTGTATAAAATTTTATAAGTGATGACAATCGTCGGGTTTCTATTCTGCTTTCGTGGGTTACGTTTTGTGAACGAGGATAAAAGTAACAAGTTATTTTTCAAATACAGACATTCAATACAAACTAGGGTAGCAGTTGATTTAACCAAAGAGGTGAGCGAGTTAGCTCATGCGCCAGACAATTTAACTTGAACAATAAACTAACTTTTTCAAGGTTAATGAGATCTTGTTGCAGTTTTTGCTGTAATCTGGCATCTGATGCAGTTCTTGCTTTAAGTTGCTCAAGGTCATCTTTTAAAAGTCTGTTCTGACCTACAAGTAGAGCACACAAGAAAGTTAAAACCGTTCACATATGTTGCTGGTTACAAATATTTTGAATACCACAGTGCATATGTCGTGGTTCAATTTTACCCTTGGTTAAATTTTATTTTTCTTAGTTTCAAACTCATTATCCTATATTACCATGCCCAAAAACAAAAGAAAGCAAAATTCAAACCAAGGATAAAATTGAACCACAACACATATCATCAACCCTCAAGTGGGAAAATGGGGAAAGAGATGTTAACTGATAATCCCTTTTCAGCTTATATCGGTGGGAATATGGCAACTCTTGACATCTCTTTTCTACTCTGAAAAAAGAGACAAGTAATAACCGTTCAACAGGAGTAGTATTGTAAGTACAGTTATCACCAACATAATATTCACCCCCCCCCCCCCCNTAATTTCCTCTGCTTTTACATGTAGTTGGAAAGGAAGGAAAACAAAATTTAAACCAAGGACAAAATTGAACATTGACATGTCCAACACACCACATACCACAGTCTCCCAACGATCTCATTTACCATGACAACAACTGACTGTTCACCTGGCACCTGATGATCATTTTTCCTTACAGCTACATGCATCAGATCTATGTAAGGCTATAATATATAGATTTAGCTAGAGCCAAAAGCGAAGCTCCCATTTATGCATTCTAAATTTACATCAGACAATAGACTTTACACCATTGCAAAGAAATCCTCAAATCTATACTTAACTTTAACATGACTGAAAACATAAACTTGAGCCTGTGATCAATTAAAACCTAAAAACTGGTCAGCAGAAAACTTATAAAACACCTCCATGAGTTGGCACCTGACCCCGAGATACGGTCATGTGACTTTGGTCAGCGGATACCCTATTTTGACAGCTGTCAATTGACCATAATATGGATGTCTATTATCAAGTTAAACACAGGTTACAGGCTCCCAAACTGGCAAGAAAGTTTGACATTTCACATTGGTTTCCCTGTGGTGTGGACGGACGGGCATATGGTCACATTATAACCAAAATGTCTCGGATAGATGACCAAATTTTCTTAGGTATAAGGCTTCGCATGCGTGGAGCTCTGCTGTGAATGTACGTAAGCAAATAACAGTCTGCTAAGAACACAGCCGCCAGGTCTGACAGTCAGGCCAACCAGACCAACAACATAAAGGAAGCGAAAACTGTTACTCACTTTCCAAATCTGCTTTAGCAGTGTTGGCTTGATTTCTCATATTCATTTCTGCATCAAGATTTGCTTGGACCTTGATAAGTTCTCTTTCTAAGCCAAGCTGTTTAAAACGACAATAGAAGTCAGCAACTGGATTAAGGTTTCGAGTAATTCACTTCATTTGTGAACCTCGTTCACACCAGAAATTTTGCCCAGGGGCATATATATATATATATATATATATATATTTTTTATGCAGTTGAGTAAATTTGCCCTCATTTATATATTTGACAAATGCAGTTGTTGGAATACTGACACACCACTTTTTTGTGGTGAAGAAAAATTGACATATTGGAAACCTTTTTTTAGTGCACAACTTGTTGCATAAAGGTTGTTACATATATTAAGATTTGACAGTGGTTTCCAAGTTTCCCTTACAGCATCTTAGTCCCCTATCCTTGATGTTATGCATCAGCATGTCTCTGCTGTTCAGAGCAATTTCTAGTGAAATGAGTTTTCCACATTTGCCGGGTCATATACACAGGAACATAAATTTCCCACACAAAATTGCTCTAGCTTGTGTACGGACACCCCTCCCGTGAGCTAAACTGCTCCCATGAAGAATAAATACTTTTTAAGCAAGATTCAAAAACGCAAACATATCTGAAGCTTTTAAATCGAGATATTGTGTTACCTTCTGGTCACTTATAATCCTGTTTTTGTCTTGTAGATCTCCATAAGATCTTTCCATTACAGTGTAAGACTACAAAGAGAATTAAAAAAACACCATCACTAAGTAAAATAGAGGAGACATTTCAAAATTTATTGCAACGAACAATAAAATCCTGACGGTATTTAAGATCCATAAATGATTGCAGTAATTATAGCAGCTTAAGATGAGCAATCAACAGTTTTCATCCTGTAACATACATTCTATAGCAAACAAACTGACCATAACAATAACTCAATTAACTCAACCTTTATTCACCTGCACAGATTCAAAAATAATGATACAAAATTAAAACATTAATCCTGGTCAAACCTGAAGTTTTCAGGTTCTTTTCCAACCACTTAAATTGTTCATTCTACTGCAAGGATCATGTTCACTCACATATCTTTATCCACAGTTCAAAATATGATTTATTTCATATTTGTCAATTCATTAATAAATAATATTATGATGAAGTCAGAAGAATTCTTTGATGCTAAGAATGTAAGGATTTCATCAAAAATCTTAGCAGCCACTATTCTTATCTTACATTTTACTCAAAGACCTTTATAAAAACAGTGACACAGGAAGCAGATATCATTAAACTCCAACCTTTTGTAAATCACTGTGTGATTTTTTGGTTTTGGCATGTGCATCTGACTCCTTTTTCAGCTCTTCTGTCAGGTCCCAAACCTGTTTCTCCAGTTGAGTAATCTTTGACTGTACACTGTGTGAAGTCTGGGATATTTTGTCTCGAGCATCTAGTTCAGCATCAAGGCGACTCTGCAATTCTTGCACTTTGGCTTCAAGCTTTGAAAAGGTTTATAAAATCACAAATATTATTCTTAAAACTACATAGCTAATACTAAGGAATAACTTTCAGAATATTCTAACGAAAAACAGCATAAAGCCTCTTGAATTGCAAAAAGAACTCATTTCACCTTTTAGTACTCAGTGTCTCAAATGCACAGTCTACTGAAAGCTCAAGTACTGTAGGTGCTATAAATTACCTCTTAAACTTTTCAATGGGTGAAAGCAGGACTGTAACACGGTAAACCAAAAGTAAAGAAGACACTAACACAACTGTTGTTTTTGACAAATCAGATTCAGTCACAAACCTTTCTCTTGGCTTCAGTTTCAAACTCGCCTCGCCTCTGCACCTGTTGGGGTAAAACAGAAAAAATGTTGCAAGTTCAACATTAAATATAATAAAGAAAATAATGTTAGAAATGATGCAAAACAACAAAGTTAAGAACAAACCACACAAGATAAATTACCTACCTCTTTTAAGTCATGTTTGAATAGTGCAGCTTTTCTCTCCAGTTCTCTATTTGCTGATTCTATTGTTCTCTTATTTTCCAACTGAAAATAAATAAGGTAAAAAATTACAAACCCAAATTGAGATAGTCAGATTTCTATCTAGGGAGAAAGTGTTACAGGCAGGTCTTGACCATGCAACATTTGCAGTACGCAACATTTGCATAATGCCAATTAAGAACAAATCTGATTTGGCTTACAATGAGTCACAAACCTTTACTCAACTTGGGAGAAAAGACAGATTTCCACTGTTACACAATTCTTTATTGTGTAAATAAAATAAAGGCAATATATGGAAAGTCATGCCTAAACGTTAAAGTTGAACCTCACTAGACTTATACGTTTATGCTTGGCTATTTATACAATGCGTACACACGTAAAAATTCTCACCTCATTGTCTAATTCTTTCATGACTTTTTCCAGTTTGGTGCTGACAGTTCTACAAGCAGAGGAAACTGTCAGCAAGGTATGTCAAGTTTATCAAAACCAAAGGCCACCAGTTATCCAGTTCAGGATTAAACTAACTTCATCACTATCTAGACTTCAAAATGATAGCTAGCCTGACCTGTAATTATGTTCCACTTCATCTCTAGCTTGCATTTCTAATGCAACTTGTTCCTCCAGCTCTTTTATTCGACGACTGGCTGCTTCAAGCTGATTACAAAATAATTATAAAATGATTGTTAAAACCTGCTACATTAAAACCAACCAGTAATGCTTTCTACTGCATCACAAATTTTGATTTTAGTCAGAATACTTGCTTCTACACTAGCACAAAACAACTTTCCAAATAAATATTGGGAAAAAAAATGTTTTGAAAGTCAATGCCATGAGTTTCACTTTGAAGAAGACAGATAAAAACAAGGACATACAGAAAGTTTATTTTATTGTTATTATTAATATTATTATTATTATCATCATCACCACCCTTATTATTATTACCATTATTTTGTCTTGTCTTTTTTTTTTCTGGGCCTCAAAAGTGCTTGTCCATTGGACAAGTGAAATGAACAGAATTTTTTTGGCCCTGCAAAGTGTGTCTAACTTACAGGGGTTGTTCATCGCATACAAGGTGTCCTAAGCAAGTGTAAAACAGTACCAAACTTGCAAATGTAGATGGACAGGAGAAAACAACACATACCTTTGGACCACTTTCATCTCCACCACCAGACTGATTGCCATCCTAATAAAAAAAAAGAAAGCGCTCTGTTTTCATGGGATCACTCATTACCACAGCAAAAAGGAAATCAAACGTATGAACAAAGGATTGTTCTTTTTACCATCCTCACCATGCCATCACAACCCTTGTTCGATGCAGCATTCCACCTAACAAAAAAAGACACACAAGTGAGTTGTGGATTTGCACTGTACTTGGCTGCACCATCTAGTTTACAGGCATTTGACACAAACTAACATGACGCGATTAAAAACCCCAACTGGCAGGAGGAAACAAGTTGGTTAATGCAAGGTGAGCCAAACCTATGTCTGATTGTCCGGGACAGGTACAAATTTAGTCCGGACATGCAAACCTTTGACATGACTTGTCCCTGGGACAAGCACATCTTCAATAGAAAAAATACTGAAACAGTTGAAAATTGACCTCACATTACAGTAGAATTAAAATTTATCTTGTAGTCATAAAAGCAAACCTCATACTTGACAAAATGAGGTTAAAAATCCTTTTAACTTTGCCATAACATGGCCATTTCATTTGTTTGAATGAGCTCCATTTGGCTTAGGAACCTGGCAAAACATTTTGGACAAGAACTCTTGGGTTTTGGACAACCACGGGACAAGTGGATAAGAAAATTTTTCTCTTACTCTGTTAATGACAAAAATATTGAAGGATTTGGACTTGGGATTACCAAGAAACAAATCCACCCGATAGTCAGAGAAGGTCTCCAACCTAGGACCATTTGATTGCAAGCCTGACCTACTCGCCACTCAGCCACGTTGCCTTCTTAACAGAAAGCAAAAATTAGCTGAAGAATTATTTTTTCTTCCTTACCTAACAGTTTCAGAGTATGTGAATCCTACAAATGGTAAATGATTCCCAGCAAAAGCCTGTGTGGAGTAACAGCAAATCACCAAAAGTGGTCACTGCCTTAGCACCACACAATCGTAGAGATCATAGAGATGATGTCAAGCTTTTCAAATTTTGAACATTTTGATACCACTTCTATGATCAATTTAAAGAGTGTAAACAATGGAAATTTGTGGTTAAGTCATTTTTTAAAATAACTGAAATTTATTGACCACTAATTTCTCAGATACAGTGTAAATGAGGAGGCCTAATTAACATAAGCTTTATAGTTTCCTTTAGGCCTCCTCGCCATTTCTTCCTACATTTTTTTTTTGGCATCTTTTTGTTACTAATTGTAATTGTGTGGCAAATAAATAAATACAAATACAAATGTGTGCATGACAGGAACAAAATTCCTCCATTTTTAGTACCATTAAATTCTTATACACAACACTTGCAGCTCTCAACTGAACACATGAAAATTTCTACAGCTGTACTAGAAATACATGTAAATGTGAAGAAATCATAAAACAAATTAAAAGTGAATAAAAGTGAGACTTGCTCTAGGTTAAACAATGAAAGAAAAAAAACCATGCCCAAGGAATTCAGCAAAAATGTTGAAACTTATCGACAAGCAAGTTTCACTGTTCAAAAGACGGTTCTCATGGATAAAAGGCAAATTTGGTCTTTCAGAGAAAATTACAGCTTTACATTTGGTGCCTGTTCACTCATTCACTTGTCAGGCCATATAGCTTAGGAGGATATGCAACTATCATAACTGAATCACGTACCTTTGGGGTGGGAAAGAACTCCTCTCCACTGTCAGGTTCAGGAATGTCATCAAAGTGTGTAGTATCATCATCACTTGAGAGCTCAGGAACCACAGGGGGAATTGCTGTAGTAATTTATTCATTAATACACATAAACTTGATAAGCATGGACTCTAAATAGTTATTAATATATCAACCCCTGTTATAATAAAATAACAATATTGACATTCATGCCCCCGAGTTAAAGTAACATGTATGGCGCCAGATATCATTAAAAAGCCTAGAGACTTGTTAATGCCACGAATATCACCAAACAAGGTGAACAGTTGAAACATTTTTTTCACACCAGTACAAAAATAAATAAGCCATTTATCAGGCTTTCTGCTTGTGGTGATGTCATTATTCACCACAGGTTGCACCCTCAGTGAATGTACACATATCTCATAACCCCTCCCTTCAAGCTAACTGCCAAGGCTGTGCCTTATGGAAAATCGCTCTAAACCTGCAAATTCCAGGGCACCCTGCATTGGATTTTAATGAAAAAACCAGGATTTCCTAGTCACCAATGAGAAAAAGTAAGAAGCCATGCCACTGGGCACTGCTGGAGCACAGCCATAAATAGCAGTCACAGGAAAGGAATTACTGAACATTACCTTCGCGAATGCTGTTCCAGTCCCACTGGTCATTGATGAAAAATCTATGCCTCTGAATTTCCTCTATTCCTTTCTGTCCAATTCTTTGGGTTCTACAAAGTATTCATAGAAACTTATATTAGAAAACACAGTTCTTAAGATGAAATCCCTGAAAATGAGAATTGATGGTTAATGTTAGTTGTTAGCTTACCTGTCTGTAAGAAAGCTACAAATTAAATGCTTGGCATCCTTTGAAATTTCAATATCATCAGGAAACTTAAGTGAATTTTTATGGTCCATAATATTTCCTACAAAAAAAAGGTAAGACAAACTATTACAAGAATTTTGTAAGTTAAGAAATCTATTTTCATAACAGGTTCAGAGAAAAGAATAAAGGGCTCTGGGCAAACACATCCTTATGATATTTGGCTAATTTTCGAATGTGCCAAAATTAGCATTATTCAATAACTGTATAAATTCACTGACTGCTAACAAGCATTCTTCTGTTGTACTTACCATACGTTCCTACCAATGAATCTGCATAAAATGGTGTATCACCTTAGAGGAAATAAATAAACATGTTGGTTTAAAAAATTACCTTTTAAAGAATGGGTGGTTGATTGAGAACAAAAAGTTTAAATGGCAAGGCAATCATTTAGAGCTAATTATCAAACTTACCAATTAACAACTCATATAAGAAGACTCCTACACTCCACCAGTCACACTCACGGCCATAGTAACCTTCCCCACCCTGGGACTTGAGTACCTATGAAACAACGCAACTCAGGATTAAAATAGATAAACGTTCATCAAAAAGAAACAACACCAGACAGAGGTACAGGTAGCTTTAGAGTAAAGCTGCAAATATAAAACTGAAGTTTAAGATCCATTATCTGCCTACTTTCTTAAAAAAAAAAAAAGAAAGAAAGATTTACAGTGCAAACCTACAATCCGTGAAAAAATTGTTGAGAGACATTGTCCTCAAACAAGGTAACTTTGGAGAACAAAACATTCCATAAGTTGGGATGTTCGTAGGTTGAAAAGCTGTACAACAATGCATGAAGTTCTTGGGGGAGGGAAAGCTTAATTTTTCCCTTTTTAAGTCAGCAAAAAGTCAGAAAGGCCGTTTACGACTAAGTCTCTCAACTAATAACATCAACTGTGGGTGTATTTTGCACAAACTCCTTACCTCAGGAGAGATATAATCTGGTGTTCCCACTGCTGTGTCTGATCTCACCATACCATCCTACAAGTGTCACAAGTTAAGAATTTGTGAATGTTAAGGTTATTCACTTTGATTAAGGGACTGTTTACCTGAAGGATGAAAAATCCAATAAGGTAGAACATCCTAGGGCTACATCATTTTTATGATTTCTTCTTTCAGTCTACGTGCAAAAGGTTGTACTTAGCCCTAGAACTACATGTAAGATTTTTCTAGTACTAAAATCTTCCATAGCTGTAGCTGGGAGACAGGACGATCCTTGTGAACAATAAAACTGAGTTGCACTAGGAGGATAAGGTACATATTTATAGCCACACCAGGTCAAGCGTACCTGTATAGATTCCATTAATGAATCAACTACCGTAAAATTCCGAAAATAAGCCCCTCCATGTATAAGCCCCTCCAAATATAAGCCCCACAAACTCATGACAAAAAACCCTCCGTGAAATCGCCCCTCCGAATATAAGCCACCCGGGGGCTTGTACTTGGAAAATTGCCCTCAAATAGAAAGTAAAACAAAGCAAAAACAGTAAATTTCCTTCCAACTATAAGCTAGCCCAATTGATTTTGAAACGCAAACTTCCCTCCGTACATAAGCCCCTCCGAATATAGGCCCATCCAAAAATAAGCCCCTCAAAAAGGGCCTTTGAAAAATATAGGCTCCGGGGCTTATTTTCGGAATTTTACGGTATTTAAATATGCTCATATGCATTCCTATATGCATATGAGCAATGAATGTTTGGCTACAAGTTCTCAGTATTCAGGCTCAGTAATTTTGTTACAAATAGTTATGATGAGTCATGGGTCTCATCTTGAGAAAAATCATGAGTCCCAGTCCAGAACCAATGAGTCTCAATTAAAAAAAAAAATGAGTCTGAAATTGAAAATGCTTGGGATGGTTATGTAACCAGACAGTTAATCTGAAGACAGACTTCAAAACTCTGTATTACAGTATACTGATATTAAAATAAAGTCCTTCTATTTTAAGGCACAACAAAGGCTAAAAGAAATATGTATTGTTCAACAACAGCCATGTAAACCATGTACACCATGTAAAGTAGTGAGCAATCAATAAACAAACAATGTCAAAAACTCTGCACACTAGATCTCCTAAATGTGGTGAGAGACAAGCCCCAGCCAGCTTTTGTTAAGAGGAAGTTATTAATGCTAGTAAGCACTGTCAAATTTCATGTTTGTTTGTTTGTTTCTTAACAAAAAGTTGTTCTGCCCTCTATGATTGGGATCTTCCTCCCTTCATGTAAACAGCAGGGCTAAAAAAACCTTGAATTTTAGCTTGTACTTTGGGCACCCAGCTCTCTAGTCATTTCCCTTGCCCAAGGCCACTTCTTCACAGTTAATGATTCTTCTTCTTCACAGTTAATGATTTTGTTAGAAGATGGCTTGCCACGACTCTTGTCCATGGGGCAAGTAAGCTTTAAACATTAATTGCGCAGTAAGAAATTCTGTCATCAATTTGATGGCATTATTGCATTGTTATTCCAAATTTCCAGCAAAATGTTTAAGACGGAATCCACCAGGAAAGTGAGTAATTTTAATTTTCAGTGGACAAAAACCTTCTTCTAGAATAATTTAAAGAATATTGCATTCTTTTTTACATTTTTCAAGGGCTAAAGATGTAATTAGTCATCTGTAGTAACACGAAAGAAAATTTTCTTTGGTATTACTACAGATGACTAATTACATCTTTAGCCCTTGAAAAATGAATGCAATATGCTTCAAATTATTCTGGTACAAGGTTTTTCCCACTGAAAATTAAAATTACTGAATTTCCTTGTGGATTCCATCTTAAAATTTTTATAATCAAAGTGAAATATTACAAGCTCCAACCTTGTCCATCCTCATGCATGTTCCAAAATCTGCAAGCTTGAGATGGCCATGTTTATCTAGTAGCATGTTGTCTGGTTTCACATCTCTGTTTAAAAAAAAACAGAGTGATTAGTTTCAAATTTTTAGGACCAATTTTGCTGAACATGTTACAGGTCAAATTTTTTATCAGGTTAAAATTTGTTAACCTAGGTTGATTCTCAACTTCCTTTGTCTACTAAAGCTAGCAAACAAAGGAAGTTGAGAATCAACCTACAATGAGGGACAAAAGTGTTGACACACTTCAGTAAAATGGCCCCTTTTTGCATAGTGCATATTCTTATCCCCTTCCCCTGTCTACCCCAACCCCTTCCCCCCCAAAATCAATGTTGAATTTTGGACCCTCGAGTCTTTTTTTTACTTCAGACAACATTGATTCGGGGGGTGAGGGGATTTACGGCGTTTAAAAAGAATGAAATAATAGATGAATTAAATGTTTGTTAAAAGCACCTGTTTTAAACAAGTGTGTCAACTACTTTTGTCCCTGATTGTAGGTTGAATCAAAATTAAACGGAAATCAAATTCTAATTCTCTCGATCAATACTATCATAAGAGAGGCCAAGTAATATATAAGTAGACTTTCTAGCTGTTAATTTATTCAAGAAGTTAACCTCGAATACCTGTGAATAAATCCCATGCCATGGATGGCATCCAATGCTAACACAACTTCAGCACCATAGAACTTGGCCCACTTCTCAGGTATATCATAGTTGCTCATAAGGTTTACTAAATCACCACCTACAGAAAAAAGTCTTGCTAAGGTAAATGTTCAAGAAGGCTTAAACATGATGATCATGCCCACACTTAACTTTATGTAGCAAAGACCAGAATGAAATACTGCTGAAGATGTCACATTTACCAAAACAAATGCCCAGGGGTTATCACGGGAGGGGGGGAGAGAGGAGTTTAGGGTTAGGAGGGGCATGGGCATAGCTGGAATAGACTGGCATTTTCCCCATCAATGCTCAAGTTTTTTCACTCAAAGAAGAAAATTTATTCACATTCTTAATTACTGACCTGCCATGTAATCCATAACCATATACAAATTTTTAGCATCCTGGAAGGCATAGTGTAACTGCAAAAAATAATCATTTCCGTGTTGAATTTCAGGTGGAGAACAGTGTAATTCAGGATTTGTAAGCAATGGTCAGAGTACTCTTGTTATTTCATGGAAACAATAACTATAATAATATGTTATTGTTTACACGAAAACAAACAAGATGTGCTCACTGGAAAGACGCTAGTTGCATTTCTAAGGAATTTTCTTTTTTTAATTCCCAATTGAGAGTACATTGACCGGTATATGAAGACACCAACATACTACTATTGTGGTGTGCTATAACACCATTTGCAACAAGGGCTGTCATTGGTTTCACAAAGCTAGTATTAAATTTACCATACAAATTGACTGTTTACTTTATAGGACGTCCCATGATCAACACTTGTTTGCAGGGTCCAAAATTGCGCCTTCCTGGTCGCCAATGCGACTGAAAATTTAGTCCTGGCGACCAAAATTTCATAGCTGGTCGCCAGCTAGCGACTTGTAAAGCTGGTTGTTATTGTGGACTTTAACGTTCGGAGAAACTGATTAAGAATTGAAACTTCGAAGCTGTTTGCCAACAGGTGTCTTCCTTTTTGTCCTGCTGATGTTTTCTAATTAAAAGTGAAACGAATCTTCCTGTAATAATACCTCCACAATAGCTACGATCAATACAAGTTGTGAATTTTCCACGCCGCCATGTTGTTTTCAGCTAAAATACGGTAAGTACGTTATGTATTTTGTCGACTGGTACGAGTAAGGTGGAACAGTTTGGCCTGGTACGAGCAACATGGCAGCTTGACTCATGTCTATGTTTCGTGTTTCGTGGTAGTTATCGGAAGAAAATAGAGTTTTGATATGATCAGTGCAGTCAGGGGCAGACAGCTTTCTGTTCCTACGTTCTAGGTCAGATAGCTTTATATCTACAAAAAGTAATTTATGGAGAAAATAAGACTTCACTCGCATTGAGCATAAAAACGTCCGTACCATGCATTTTTTATTCGTGATTAAACTTTTATTTGAAAAAAAGGGAGGGGAAATTTTTGGCGACCACAATTTGCCCTCTGGCGACCAAAAATTTATACTTGATTGCCTGCTGGCGCCCGTATTAAAAAGTTAATTTCGGACCCTGGTTTGTATTATTGATGTGTATGTATCATAAAGCAAGCACGATAAAGTAGATGTTATACTGTATGGCAGTCTGATGATCTTAATCTGATTATTCACAGCTCCTGCATGGACATACTACAGTTTATTTCCTGGAGCTCTATACCAACATAATAATTTAGGTCCACCCAAATGACATAAGTTCAACGGCTGATTCAGAAGTCAAACTTAATTGATATAAAGCATCAAAATGTCCAGTCTTTCAAACCTTTTGTCATATTAAGGATTTTTTAATCATTCAAGGTGAAATAGTAATCTTTCTGGGAAACTCTCTTCTGCATTGCACATATACTCTATCTCCCATGAAAAAATAAACTTCAATGTCATGCTGCTTTCCAATCAGATAAATTGCAATGTAATGATGCTAGCTCAATGGGACTCTAGATTAGCAAAGGTTATCCACTGAGAACATGGGGGGGGGGGGGGGGGGGGGGGGGGGGGGAGGTGGGGCATGAGCATAGCTGGAATTGACTGGCACATTCACATTCAGTTTTTTCACTCAAAGAAGAAAATTTATTCACATTCTTAATTACTGACCTGCCATGTAATCCATGACCATATACAAATTTTTAGCATCCTGGAAGGCATAGTGTAACTGCAAAAAATAATCATTTCCGTGTTGAATTTCAGGTGGAGAACAGTGTAATTCACGATTTGTAAGCAATGGTCAGAGTAGTCTTGTTATTTCATGGAAACAATAACTATAATAATATGTTATTGTTTTCATGAAAACAAACAAGATGTGCTCACTGGAAAGACACTAGTCGCATTTCTAAGGAATTTTCTTTTTTTAATTCCCAATTGAGAGTACATAAACCAGTATATGAAAACACCAACATACTACTATTGGGGTGTGCTATAACACCATTTGCAACAAGGGCTGTCATCGGTTTCAACAAAGCTAGTATTAAATTTACCATACAAATTGACTGTTTACTTTAAATGACGTCCCATGATCAACACTTGTTTGTATTATTGATGTGTATGTATCATAAAGCAAGCACGATAAAGCAGATGTTATACTGTATGGCAGTCTGTTGATCTTAATCTGATTATTCACAGCTCCTGCATGGACATACTACAGTTTATTTCCTGGAGCTCTATACACGGTTGTCATTAAGAGCCGGGGGCCGGGGATTTTCCCCGGCTACTAAGAGAGTGGCACCCGGCTACTTTTATTGGAAAATAGAAAAAAATAGCACCAAAAGAAATCGCTAGCTGTTTGATTCCCCGCCAACTTGTTGTATTTACCCGGCAACTTGAAATCTTAGTGACAACCCTGTCTATACCAACGTAATACCTATTTAGGTCCACCAAAATGACATAAGTTCGACGGTTGATTCAGAAGTCAAACTTAATTGACATAAAGCATCAAAATGTCCAGTTTGTCAAACCTTTTGTCATATTAAGGATTTTTTAACCATTCAAGGTGAAATAATAATCTTTCTAGGAAACTCTCTTCTGCATTGCACATACACTCTATCTCCCATGAAAAAATAAACTTCAATGTCATGCTGCTTTCCAATCAGATAAATTGCAATGTAATGATGCTAGCTCAATGGGACTCTAGATTAGCAAAGGTTATCCACTGAGAACATGTCTCCTCTCACATCATAGCACTGTGCAGTTTAAGACCCTTGTAACATTGAAAACAAAAAGTCATAGGAATAGTTATGACTGAAATCAAGATTGACTACAGTCTAAATAAGAAAGCAAAATGTGAACATTACCTTCACAATCCAAGGACTTGTTGTGTGGGCCATAATTTCACGTTCCTCCCAAAAGAATGCAGAGTCAGACCTCTTGATCTGCGACAAAATATAAAAAGGGTAAAGATGGAAATAAGGGAAAACAACTCCAAGAAAATTCCACGATCAAGAAACTATCTCTATCAGGCACATCATAGACTATACAAATGTGGTTTTGCATTCAGCCTTGTAAGTGACTGTCTAACCTCCAACGGAGCAAATGAAATCAATTTTTAAGGTACTAAGTAAAGTAACAGCAATATTAGGAATGGCCTATGCAGAGTGTAGACCACCCGAATAGCAGAGTTAAATGAGCAGTGCCTGACCCTAAAAGGGGTTAGTTCCAAAAGAGACTGACTGAAATGCTGTGTAAGTGAGCAGCGAAACAACTGAACTGTTTAGGTAACTTGGCCACCAAACCAAGACTTAAAGATGAAATTTTAAGAACAGAGAATATCTACAACTAGCAGTTATTGGTGACCCACGGTAAAGTTTATTACACTGTGGGTGAAAACAAGGCAAAACAAAGAACAAAAACTAATTAAAGAAATTAACTTGACTGCTTTCACCTTTATGGGTTACCAAAGGGTTACAATGGATACACTGACATTTAACTTCATGTGCAACATTGGGTTATAAAAGAGTTTTTGGTAATTTGTCCACCAGGTTTTCTCCTTTAAGCCAAATCTCTTTTAAAAGTGAACCTTTTCTGTTTTATCTAGTATAAAAAGAGTTTGGTTGTGTCTGTTCTACAATCTGTCATGTGTTAAATCCTATAAAGCAAATATATTAATGACTGAAATTTCACTCAACACTTAAATTAAAACATGCCAAATTAATTGGTTTAGTAACACCTCACTTTCAGTTCCACTCACTGAGCTTTTACCTTTTCATTGTAAAGAATTATTATTGATTTATGATTGATTTGTAACCCATAACACATGTTTAATGACCAATGAAAACAATTTTTTATGAAGTACTTATAAATTTGGCTGATTTAGAAGATTTCTATTCTCTTTTCTTACTATTGATGTGGTCACAAAAAAAATACTTAACTCACTTTTGCCAGATAATCTGAGGGGCTCACAAAAATTCATGACCTATCTCGGAACTCCTAAGACATGTTTACTGTCTTGGCAAACAATTTTTCACTACAGAGTACTAATAAGCTCATTAACAGGATTTTTTTATATTAACTTTTTTACACCATGATATATTTTGCAGTTGCCTAACCTTTGTAAGATTCGATATGAATAGCAATTAACAGCGACAGTTGGGTAGAAAGAATTAAAAAGAGCAACCAACACACAAGGTTTTGACTTGCGGGTAGCAGAACAGAAAAATCAACAATAAATAGCATAAATCAACATTCCGAAATTGTCCAAGGCATCTCAAGAATTGAAACTAAGGGTGATTTTTTCGCTAATTTGTTTACAACGTTAAAGACTAATCCTGAACTCTTGGCAAACAAATATGCTCGTTGTTGGAGGTCAATATATATAAGACCAGTTTTAATGTACACTGGTAGAGAAATCATTACAACATAGCGAACAACTGTACTAACGGACAACAACAACCATCCGCGAAAATGTAAATTTTGGTACGAGGATAAAAGCGCAGCGGTACTTTTCAAAAAGTCTACATTAATTAACAGTTTGTTCATAAAACCACAGCTTTTAAAAAGAAGGGATTACCCCCTTGTTGGGGATCTAACTTCGTTATATCAGGAAAATGTGCATGACAGTTAGAAATTAGCTACATTTGGACGAGAAGCATAGCTACCGGACAAGCGAATTTACCACAAAAATATCACGAACAAACACGCGTCTAAAACAGTGCACAGCTTCCTCACATACCTATAGATGTACCGAACGAGGAACGTGATTTTGTATTATTTTTCGGGGTTTCTATGGTATGCAGTTTTATAAATGTCAAATCATACATAAAAACGAGTCCATAAGGGACAAGAGTAGAACATGCGCTATTAATATGAGTTATCTAGCGACTTACCATCTCAAATTTGCTGAGAAGTTTCATCGCATAAACCATTTTGGTCGCCTTATGCCTTACCTGAAAAGAAGAAATAAAGAGTGATTTTTCAGCTATTTCACTAGACAAAACAGCTCTTAGCGATCATAAAGCCCGCACTCAATAACATGGTATCGTTTAAATATTCGAGAGCTTTCAAGCCTCAAGGAATCATCTGCTACCACATTAGCAAAGGAAATTACGTTTATGGAGAGGCAAAGGACGGAAATTTAGCTGGCAGACAAAAAACTGTAAAATTAATATAAAGTTAACGAGAAGAATTGCTCACAGACAACTATAAACTGTCAATAAAGTCCCAAACAACCCAGACAATTTCGTTGTTATGTGCCAGTGGCTTACCAACTGTACTTCGCCAAATGCACCTCGACCAATGACTTTCACAACCTGAAAGTCGCCTGCATTCATACGGCAGCTTTCGATTACTTTACTGGGCTTCTCATCTGAAAGGCAATTAAACCAACGTCAGGACTTGAGCTTCAAGAGCTGTCAAAAGCAAATATCACAACAGCTAAACTTTAAAACTCACATCTTTGAAGGAAGTTTTCGACGTTTTTGTTGCGTCTGAGGGCAGGGAAGTCACAATCACAGACCAACGATTGAATCCCGTCCTGGCAAACGAAACAGAGCAGTTAAAATATTGAGTAACCTGACAGTATGACAGTTCAATTGAGCATCAATCGACTTACCAAAAGCCCTTCGATATACAGTTCATTCCGAGGATCTCGGACGTAACGCTCAAGATTTTCTCGCCTCTGTCGCTCGCCCATCTTGCCTGCAAACCCAAGCTCTAGTTATTCCAACGCAAAGCAATCCGCACCAAGCGGAAATCACTCCTTTTCCAGCAAGTAAGATCTAAAAGGAGGCATCTGGCCTCAAAAAGGTGGATTTGGAGGCTTATTCACGCGATGAGCTTCTCTAGCCGAATCACTTGTTGACATTGCCATCAAACATGGCTGAACTGCTGGGAACTAATATGGGGTGTTTAGTCACGTGACAGGTAACCTTCAGTCGCAAAAGGCGGTCTCTCTGCTGAAGACTAGGAAAAACTTCAATGCAATCAGCATTCATAAACGTCATAAACTAAAAAATCTACGTTGTGCCGTCGGTTTTTGAAGAACCAATTTCGAAACCCACATTTCATCCGATTTGTTGTGACGTCAGTCCTGTTTGCGCAGCACAAGACACGGTACTGAAAAGAAAGAACTCTGGAAAGTGAAGAAATTTTGTTACGATTTCACTCACAAAGGAGACGTTCAGCACATATTTAAAAGCACTATCAAAATATTATTGGAGTTGTATTTTGCTGTATTTTTTGACAAAGTAGACCAAACGAAAAGTGGAAAAATCTTAAGGCTGGTTTTCACTTGCGACGGAGTCGAAGTTGGAGTCGTAAGCGGAAATCAAAAATCGTAGTAGTAAGCGGAGTATCCTCTTAATGGGGTTACTGTGATTTGGCTCCTGTTTTGGATCCAATAACACTAACGTTCCGCGATACCAGTTATTAATTTTAAATACCACAAAGACTAGTTAAACCTTGCACAACTAACTTAACTCGTATAAAAGCGCATAACTGGTCGATGATTACAATGATTTCTACCAACGTCCTAGCTCTACATTAGGTTTATAAATATCACAATGGTGAACCGGTACTCGACTGGATGACAAAATGTGGCAAAAATAGACTATCTTCTTCATTCGTGGAACTGATCCAATGACATCTAATCCAATGATGTGGCCATGACTGAGAACAAGAGCCTTTTCTGAGAAGCAATTTCAAAATTTAATTTCTGAAAATCAAGAGACCTCGCAAGTCTTTCAGTTTCCAAAAGTTGAGACAATCAATTCATGTGCTGTAGAAAAACAAAAGCAGGCTGAAACGCGGTGTTAGAACGTTTCGAGACTACAAACCACCACGTTTAAGGATGTCAACGAAGAGAAAGAGGAAACGAAACAACAGAAAAACAATTTGAAACGATATAATAGTTCATGTTACAAATTTGTTCTTGGAAACAATATATAAGCATTTTGAACAGTAAAACTGTAACATTACCAGTGGGGGATCCAGAGAAGGGGCCCGGTGGGCCGCCTCCCCCCTTATTATTAGACCAAACTGAGGCCCGAGGGGCCGGTAAAATTTTTTTTGAGACTGGAGCCCCCCCCCTTTTCTCAGGGTGTAGATGACCGCCCCCCCCTTATCTGAAGGTCTGGATACGCCACTGATTATATATCTTGATTATGTTTATCCAGAAGCATATAAGAGTTTTCAGTTAATATAATTAGTTACTGTATTAAGCCGTTAAGACTGTTTAGTCCTACTGTAGTAAAAGCCCCGTGTCATTTCATTTGTTTTTTACTCTCTTTAAGGATTTTGTCCTGATTCTCATTTTTGAGCATACGTTGATGATCACCAGCTGTGTGTGGTTCATTTTTTTCCGCTTCCTTGTTTTAATCTTTGATATAAATTGCTAAAATCTTATGGATTAAACATAGCCTTTATTTTTAGAAACGAAAGTAATATTTTAAAGCATCTCTTCCTCAGTGGTTAACACTCTGTCGTCTCCCAGTTAAAACCCGGGAAGGAGCCCTTATTTGGCCTAAACAGGGCGGTATGTATGTATGTACCGCTGAACAGGACATGTTTTTCAGGTTCTTCATTGAGTCTTGTACAAGGTGTACCATTACACTATTTAGCGTCTTCACACAAAAAATCTATGTCCATGATGTTAGTTTGAAAAATTACCTAATTTTGTTGGCAAAACGAAACGAATCAGGGTCATAAAATGACAATTGAACAATTTTGTTTAAACAGGAACAGCACCTCGAACCTTTACCCAAACTTCCCTCGAGTGCCCCTCTCCCCCCTCTCCCTGGTGTTTAAAGCCCGGTATGGGTTTAATAACCATGGCTGTGTCATATGTATCATCGTGGTTTTTCTTTCTTGGAGTGATGATCGAATTTAAGCTTTTTTTTTTTAATTTTAAGCATCTTTAGTCAAGTGCCGGAAAAAGGCGGAAGTCACGCGCGGAGGAGAATCATTTACTGACGCCGGAAATTACAACTTCAAGTTTAAGGCGTGATTACCACGTTGCCAGTGACCCGCACCCCAAGAATCAGAAACTGCAGAACTACACTTGTTCAATGTTGCGCTAAGTAAACCAAGTGACATTATGCTGCTTGTCTTACTAACTGAACCTAATACCATCTATCCCTGAAACAAAGCGCATTTTTCAAGGAGTCTGAAAAATTAGTCACATGTCGATACAAACGCTGCAGAATACCTCAGTACGAGACTGAACGGAGAATCATTAAAAAAAAAATTGTACACCTCTCTTCTTTAATTTAATTTTCGTTTTCTGCACTTTTTTAGCCCAATGGTATGAAGGCCAACCGCGAATTACTGAATTTTTGGCAACACAGTAGGATCGATATTCTCCAGTCGGTAAAACTGTCAACGACTGACGGGCAATATTCTGGTGAACTTGTTATTAAGAAATTTCCTACTGAACAGCATGTGAGGTAGATTTACGTTCGTGCATGTTCATGTTATACAAATCCCTCTAGAGGTTAGTGACGTTAATCTTAAATTTCATGATCGTGATTTTTTACTAAAAAAGTGAAAAAACAAAAACTCTACCCATAAGGACTATAAGAACTGTAAGGTTGATATTGCTCCCCCGGATTGCTCCATCTACAAAGCTATTTGTTTTGAGTTCTTGATTGGTGTCATCAGGTTTTAAATATAGTGCCGATTTCGCAAATTCTCCCACGTACTAAAAAATCTGATCAATAATTTCCAGTTCAACCGCAATGTATGTTATGCCCTTGATCGAAATACAATTTAATGCTGTCAGTTATGCTTCTGACGCGATGAATTAGTTTCGGGCTCACGTCACTGTACTGTGAGGATGCTTGATTAAAAATTCCTTAGGCCCCGTATAATTTTATAACTTAATAATAATAATAATAATAATAATAATAATAATTGGAGGCCTAATATACGGCAGCGCAAGACCAGGCATTGAAGATAAACGTGTTTCAGGATATAGATTATCTGAGCATGTCAGCACTGTGCAGAATGTGTCGACTATGCCAGGATGTAGAACAGCTGAACAATTCTCCAAGGACCTTTTGGACAGCTGCGAGGGAAAGCCGGTTCTTGGTGTAGATACATACATACATGCATTATCTTTCATGTTTAAACACGATAGTTTTTAAAGCTATTAAAGCTTGTAGCCGGTCGTGTGTTTAAGAATTTTAAAACTAACCTAATCCCTCTACATGAAGAAAAACATATATACAAGGATCAGCAATATAAAATAACACTTAAAATTGAAGCCAAGGCTAATCGGATAGCTAGTGATGGATACTCATTTGCCTACTGTAATATTTCGGTTAGGCAAAACTAACCTTCACCAGGCTCTAGAACACCTTGAGAACCCATAGCATGTGGCTGTAGCAGGTTCAGGCTCAGAGAGATAACAACAAGAGGCACGACGCATTGACTCGGGTTGTTTATGGGGAACTTTGAAAAGTTTATGGTCTCCCATTTAATTAGAAGCAAGTGCTCCGAACAAACCCATGTAGCAATCACTGATACATATACATACATACTTTATTTGTCATGTAGGTCAGTAAAAAAGGCAGCTAAAGAGCTGATGTGGACCTTACAGAGGAGAGAGTGATACAGAGGAGAGTGGATCTGGCGCCTGAGATTCAAGAGTTAGGGAATATGAAGAGCGTTATTACGTTTTTATCGGAGCAGTGAAAATTAATCAGGCTTTATTTGACACCTTAAGGAGACCACATTCCAACTCTGAGTATGACTCCATTTCATTCCGTCGTTTTTTTCATTTTTTAGCCCTTTTTTTTTGAAATAGATATTTCTAAACGACCGACTCTAAGCGAAACCTTTATCGGGTGAAAATATTGGCTTTCATAACAATATCCTAAGTGAGGCCAAAATCTCCGATTTCTACCCCAAATCGAGATGAAGAGCATCCTCTTCACTTTTATATGGGAGCCCACCTCCCCAGGTCCCAAAAAACCTGCCTTTTTTGCCCCTTTCACTCAAATGGTTTACGCCGAGTCTCAAAACTCTGGCTAGATGTAGATACTGTACACAACTTTCAACTTCAACCATCAACTTTATTCACACTTCAAGTCTTATTTCCTTTACAAGTTATATGCAGAGAAACCCAAACGTGTTAAAGGGACTGGTTCACGATAATGCGCATGTGTGAGTTCTGACAGTAGCTGATTGTTTTTCAACCAATCGGAAGCGAGTTAAATGCACGCAAGTAAATTTACAAAATTCAAATTAATTGTTCGCGACGCGAGAGTATTTCCGGGCATTTGGTTTGATTTTATTTATCCCCATAATTCAAGTTTATTCTTTGCTACTCCTCAGATATATGTTGCAGCCGATAAGAATAAAATTTACAGCCCTGTCCTGCTTTGAAACAAACATTTACCAACGTGTATTTTTACGAGGTCGTATCCACGCTAACTAAGCGGTCACCGATCGGCAAACAAAATTTGTAAACAAACATCTTATTACTGTTCTCTCAGTTCGCCTTATATAA